AATACTCCGTAACACACAAGTTTTTCCAAAATACATTCAAATTTCACAAAATGCCTCAAAGGCCACAACGTCATAATTCATACAAAAGACTCATAGATGCAAGATGCAACAAAACTCAATGCATGTGGTACCAATCATCACAACTCGATGGACACTAGGCCATCAACCCTCCCTAGATCCCTATCAATAGGATCGATTCTACTAGAGAATTGGAGCACATCAAAATACTTCACATCCGCACAGTGGGATTGAAGCCAAGGTAATCGAGGTCCTGAACCGATGTCCAGATGCACATGAATGCATGATGCACACATCACAAATCATCCTCATAATAACATCATAGGTGCATCATCATTCATCATATTCATCATCATCAAACGTCATAGCTCATCATCATACATCATGTCATCACAACACATCATAATACTCATCATCACACATCATTTCGTCATATAATTCATCATAATAATTAATCTCACACATCATGTCATCATATAATTCATCATAATAATCATCATCACACATCATGGAAATCGTCATATAATTCATCATAATAATTAATCTCACACATCATGTCATCATATAATTCATCATAATAATCATCATCACACATCATGAAAATCGTCATATAATCGCGTACAAATCACATATTAGCTCATAGTAATCCTCATATTAGCCCATCATATTATCACATATTATCACATATTAATTCATTAAATTATACTAGCGGTAATCCTCACACTATCGCCTATCAATCACATAAATCCTCACTGTCATACTCATGTTAACTCATCTCAGAATCAAACATCAAGGCATTGCTGCACACGATCAACATTCGCGAAACTCTGCTACATTCGTTGGCATGCTCGCTAGGCGAGTCGGGGCAAGTTTCTTCCCTGGGTGAAGCTTTCTTTGCTAGGCGAGTCTCGGAAAACATGGTTCGCTAGGCAAAGCTTTTCTTTGCTAGGATAACAGCGCGATGACAGCAAATTCTGCTACGCGCCAGAACTAGAAATCACTCGAATGGTCACACGATTTCACTTACCCAATGCCCCCTAAGCATCCCTAAATCATCCCTAAGGTCCTACGGCGATAAAGGCACATAACCTACCGTTTATTAGGCCAATCCCATAACATATTCATGTCCAAAATCACAATTTTTACATCAATTACACCCTAAGGCATTAGAGTTACTCACTATTCAAATATTCAATCCCTTCAGGGTCAGACATATAACAATCTATGGATTTGGCCACAAGGCCTTAGTTTTCCAAAATCGCATATCAAATATTCAGTGATACATACCATTAGCCATAATCTCAGAGTTTGATCATCAATTTCCCTAATTTTCCCACAATCAACCCAAAGTACCTTAAATCTTAAATCAACCATAAACACATCGAAAGGCATACATGGAAAATCATGAAAAGCTATACTCCTCATACCTTAGCTGATTCAAAGCTTTCACGATTAACTCCGGAGATCTTCTGCCTCCAACCTTTCCTTCAGAGCTCTGGCCACCAAACTTTCACGGTCAACACAAATGAATTCTAATTTCTCTTCAGAACTCCATCTTGTCAAACCTAGTCTTCGGCCTCACAAATTGGGATTTTCCTTCATTACCCTTACTAACTCTTCCAAATTCCCAAATTACCCTTATTCCTCTTATATTTATTTTAATTCATAATAATATTAATAAATCCATATTACGTACTATTATTCCAAAATAAATACTCCAAAAAGCATAATTCCTCAATAATTCACAAAGCCACCGAAAAACACTGAAATTGAATATTCTCAATTAAATCAATTAATTAAAATTTGGGGTGTGACACCTGGGACTAGTTTGGCCAGTCCCGCAAGCAAACCCGCAACGGGAGCTCAGTGGTTGTCCGCGCGAAAAACACGTGCGAACACCCGCAAGGGGTTACTATTCGAGGACTTATTTCACCCTTAAAAACATCTTTCAACAAATCAATTATGACATCTTGCCTTAATGGTGAAACTTTTTTCTTTTCAAAAAGGGCATGTTACATCCGTTCTACCACAATCAGGTAATGCCTAAGACTCCACAAGAGAGCTGCAATACACCTAACTGCTAAAATGCGAACGTTGACATCATCCATAAAAAACACCAACAAACTGTAGTATCACGAACTACGAATGCTCTGATTTTTCACTTCTTTCAAGTGAAGGTACGTAGGCACAAAGGCCCTAATCCTTGGCAAGCACCTTTCCATTTTTCTTCACCGATAGTCCTCCGAACTACATTGACTCTGACTTTCTCATACCTGTTGAGAATACGTAGGCATAGGACCGCGAAGTCCTACCGAGTCTCCTCCCCGTTTCCACCTTCTCTTTTCTCTTTTTTTTTTTGTTTCCAACCCTTCTCTCACCTAGAACATTCTTAGAAAGCACTATCCTTTAGAAAACATCCTTACATATAGACAAACGAATGGTTCCCATCAAGTACGATGGATGTGAAGGGTGTTAATACCTTCCCTTCGCATAACCGGCTTCCGAACCCATAATTTGGTTGCGAGACCATCTTATCCATTATCTTCTTTGGGGTTTTCTCAATGTTTTCCCTTCCCCTTTCGGGATAAATAAAGTTCGATGGCAACTCTCTTGGTTTCCTATTTCGCCTCTCCGTCGTTGTATTTTTCGAGTAGCGACAGAAGGAAATCGATATGATGTAGGTATACAAGGTGAAGTTAAATCCCAAAGGAGAGGTAACTCGACATGAGGAAAGACTTGTGGCAAAAGGATTTCTTTAGAAAGAAGGATTCGAATTAAACAATGTTTGTGCATCTGTTGCTAAGATCGAAACAATCAGGTTCATTGTTGGTCTAGCAAACATGAACAACTGGCATATCTATCAGATGGATGTGAAATGAGCATTACTTAATGGAACTTTAGATGAAAAAGTTTATGCTGGACAAACAGTTGGGTTTATGAAACAAGGAAAAGAAAGCCATGTATGAACTTAAGCAATCTCCAAGAGCTTGGAATAAGAAGATAGATAGATTTATAAGGGAGAAGGAATTTGTGAAGTGCATAATTAAGTATAGAGTATATGTAAGAAGAAGCAATAGTAAATTATTGATATTATATCTCTATGTCGATGACTTATTGACAACAAGTAGCTGCAAGAAAGAGATCAAAGACTTCAAAGGTGATCTTAGTGAGGAATTCGAAATGTCTGACCTTGCAGACATTTCATACTTCCTCGGCATCGAATTCTACAAGAGTAGTAGAGACATGATGATGCATCAAAGAACCAAGACTACAATTATCGAAAGACTTAGAGAAAGACGATGTCGATCCAACACACTACAAAAGAGTTATTGGATCGTTAAGATACCTTTGTCACACAAGGTATGATCTAGCTTACAGTGTATGTATGGTAAGTAGATTCATGCACAAATCAAAGGTATCACACCTAGCAGTGACAAAAAGGATAATAAGGTATCGGAAAGGAACTCTCGACTATGACATTTTTTTCCTACAACTGATGAAAGAAAATAATGCAAACTAATGGATTACACTCAGTCAAGTTGGTGTAGTGATGTTGAGGATAGAAAATCCACAACTGGCTATGTGTTTATGCTAGGTGGTGCACTACGTTGCTTAGAACTAAAGAAAAAAACAAGTAGTAGCACTGTCGTCGTGTGAAGCAGAGCACTTAGTTGTTTCCCCCTGTGCATGTCAAGGAACATGGATGGTGAATTTGATCGAAGAAATTACAGGGAAGAATCATGGTGAAATTACCATGAAGATCGACAACATGTCTACTATCAATCTGGAAAAGAATCTGATAGCACATGAAAGAAGCTAACACATTGGAATGAGATTCCATTATATTCAAGAGTAAGTAGCAAATGGAAAGCAGAAGTTAAAACACTGCAGAACTGAGAATCAGGTTGCAGACATCATGACGAAAGGTGTGCAGGTCGAAGTCGTCAAAAGACTATGAATAATAATGAACGTAAATAGCTTAGACACAATGAATTAGGTGGCGTGTTGAGAATATTATTCTTTGTGCCAAAACACCATTTCGACAGAGTCTGTTGTCGAAATGCTCTATGCAAAAATTTGTTTAGTTGTCGAAATGTCAAAAGTGTATCTGGATATAATTTTGACTTAATTTTATTTGTTTGTTTTACTTGAGTTAGTTAGATTAATTGGAGATTGCTTAGCGTGCAAGCAATCTCGATCTATAAATAGGAAGGTACCCTATCATTGTAATAATATAGTAGCATAGAAAAAAATTTAAAAACTTTGGTTCAAAGGCATAGAGAAACTTTGTATAAATATTTTTCTTCTCCCCCTTTTCTTTCAAACCCTAATTTCACTTTTCTTTCCCAATTTATATTTTCTTTTCTTTTCAAATTTATGTGCAACGGAATCAGCTTGTAACCAAGGCGTGGTTGATTCATTTGAGTGAAGAGTGAATTACAAGAGGCGAAATCGATCAATGTGATTGATTATTCTTATTCATCAAGATTGATTCAAAATTCTCCATAAATAACCAATGAAAGACGTGTATTATGCCAAATCACACTTTTAATATTAAAATACTAACCCGACATGACTGAATATTATAATTTTATTGGATGATAATATAAAACTAGTTTACACACTTAATATTATTTTTTTAATATGTATATAATGGAAAAATATAAAACATTAATTTTACTAAAAATGGAGTATAGGTTGCATCCAAAAAGAGAGACAGCGTACGGTAAAACTTTCCTCTGATAGAAAAAAAAATCTTTGCTCTGATAGAGTAATCACTGTTGAACAGTTTTTTGTTTTTAGTTTTGACAGGTTCAGTGAGAACCATTGAAAACATGAAGGCCTCATTAATTAAAATCTTAATTATTTCAACCGTACAGTTACACACATTGAGTAGTTAATTCAATATTTATGTAATTGTATTGATGTAAGAAAAGAGTCTATAAAATATTGAGTCATTAGTATTGAAGTGAAAGTCTAAAATGAATTGGAACATTGAGAGTACAGTACCCTTTGTTCCTCCTCCAGAGTCTTCTTTAAGCTTCTTATACAACTATAACAACTATAACAACTACACTTATTCAGGTAAAACTCTATTTCCTCAAATCATTCACATTTATACACCATTCTAGTATTCTAACTCTTTATGTTTCAAAACTACACTTGCATGGATATATTGTTATTTAATGTTTATAGAAAATCATTACATATTAGTGATGTGATGAAAAATAAAAATAGAAAATCATTATTTGTCTATATTGGATTATTAGGAATGGAAGCAAGTGAAGTGGCATTGTGTGAGACACAGCAAAGGTTGCTTCCTATGATTGATGATGAAATGAATATGATTAATAATGGAAATGAGCGTGGAGAGATGAAGAACAAGAAGATAAAATTAACAAGTAACCAAGTTGAATCATTGGAGAGGAGTTTTCAAGAAGAAATAAAGTTAGACCCTGAAAGAAAGACGAAGCTTTCTGCTGAGTTAGGGCTTCATCCTCGCCAAATTACCGTGTGGTTTCAAAATAGGCGCACTAGGTGGAAGACCAAGCAACTAGAACATTCCTATGATGTTCTTAAACAACATTTTGATATTGTCTGCATAGAAAAGCAGAAACTTCAAGAAGAGGTAACTAAAGCTAGTTTTCAATCATCTCTCAACTAGATCTTGCAATGTATCCCCATACGTGATTGATTATATATAATTATGTCATTTTTAGAAATTATTATCCGTAACTTTTTAGTGCTGCAAATTGGCTGATGTGTTCGAAACAGGTTATGGAGTTAAAGGAAAAGCTAAAAGAGAAAGCTGATTTCAGGACACAAACATTTGGTGATGAAACGCTAGAAAGCACATCAGAAGGGTTGGGACAAAGAGAGATTGAAGGAGATTATCCATATCCATGCTCCAACAATAACCAAGGAACATCAAGTAGCACTCAACAAGTTGCAGTGGGATACGACTATAGTTCATTCATTGTTGAAGAACTAAACTCAGCTTCATTGCTTTCTGAGTTTCACTGGCATGAGTTACCTTATCATCCATAATCGATGGTAGATGTTCAAGTTTGAATGAATTAATGTAATCTCTAAGAGTAGTGACTCACTTAATTTTAATGTATTAGGAGTTGTTAGGTATCAATGGTTTGAGGCTGACATTGGAATCTATTCAGAACTAGACGGATGGTAGTAATTAGTTTGTGAGTGATAAGAATTTCAAAAGATTTGAATTTTAGTGTCAAACTTCAAAGAAAGATGGAAGATTTATGGCTCAATTGAAATATGTAAGGACAATTAGTTGTGTAATATATTTAATGCAATGTATCGTACTAATTACTATTAATCTAAAGATTTTCACCTATCTTCTAAAAAGCAAAAATCTTGACCGTCATTATAGTAGGTTTGTTGCAATACTAGAGGGATATATCGATGTAAGTGGGATATCGAATATCGAAGATCATAAATTCACGGTTGGGTGGATATTTACACTATCTGGAGATCCAATTTTTTGAAAGAGGAAAAAACAAACATGTACTAAGGTTATTTTCAAATTAAAAGATATTTAATTGTAATAACATTTTTTGTTTCTTTTTTCTGAAAATGGTCTTTTCATATTTAAAACAAATGGAAGATTATTGTAATTAATAACAATAATACTATTACAAATAATAAATTTCACGACAAAGATTTCATCTCATTCTAAAAAAAACCGAGATATAAAACAAATTTAGGAATATACTCACTTGATTTTTGAATATAACCAAGATGAAAACAAATTTAGGACATGCTTTGAATTACAACAAATACAGTTTTTATTTTTATTTCTTTAAATAATGTGCATTTCTTTTTCTTTTAATTTTTGTTTGTAAATTAAATGATTTATTCCTTCCATTAATTTAATAAAAAAGGGATAAATAATCAAAGTTTACCATAAAAACACTTGTTGATTAAGTTAACCTTAATCCTAACATATTTATAGTCGCTCCAAACTCATACACCATTTCTTTGAGATGGATTGCAAGATAGAAAACATATCCAAGATTTTGTGTTGCATTTTGTTCTTCTAACAACAACCTTAAATAAAACATTTTTTATACACTTAAAATATATCTCACATTATGGTTTTTTTTTTGCTGTTGTTGTTTTCACCTCCTGCATGACCATTGTTATATTTTAGAATAACCTTTCTATGTTGTTAGTCAAAGAAAATACTCCATAATTTAATGTTTTTCTCGGTTGACAACATTGATAAATGCTTTCATTATCAATGTTGTTGTTTCATAATACAAGATCTTAAAAACATAATATTGAATATTGAAATACATAAAGAAAGAAGTGAATAAAAAAAATTGAAAAAGAAATAATACATGGTACTTTAAATTTTTTTATCATTCACCTTTTTTATAGAAGTAATATATTACCTCAACTCATTTATAAAATTGAGTGAAAATTTTCTATTTTATTTTGTTTTTTAATTAAAAAAGAAATAATATTTTCTTCGATTTTATAAAAGAACCAAAATATTATTATTTAGTTAATTTATATTCATAAAGTAAAAACGTTCAAGATATTTTTAACACATTAATCCATAAAAAATAATTATAAACTAAATTATTGACCTGAAGCATCAGGCATCTCCGTATTTTTAAAATTACAATTAATTTTTGTTTTAAAAGCTTAAGCTGGCTGTTGAAATTTGCACAAAGAAGAGTCCCTCTTCTCATTGATATCAACACAATTGTTCAATCTCCATTTTAATATTTTGATTTTATGTATAATTTAGAATTGTATAAACAAATGTATTCCTTTCAAATATGATATATGAAAGTAGTCATTCATAAAAAAATACATTTTAATTTTTTTACAACTCCAGATTTATGTTAGTACGACCATTAGTGCAATATTGTTTTCCATTAGTATGATTTAATATGTAATTTTCCGAGCAACACAGATATGTCGCGTTTTACTAAACTTTAAAATATTGCAAGCATGTCAAGGCTTACATGTTAGTATGTTCAAATCCATGCAGATAAGAAATTTAACGTAAATAAAATTATTAAAGTCTCCACCTCACGAATTACTGTAAATACACACTAAAAAAACGTTAAATTTGCAAACCTAAAAAGTACCTCGTAATGTTCATTTTTCAACGAATTTCAATACCTTCTCTAAAATGTTAATCGGAACTTTTTTAAAGAGTGAAAATCAACTCGCAAGTTACCGAGGGAATATCACTTTGCGAGTTGTTGAGTGATTATCATGTCACAACTCACTTTTTAAAATTTGGTTCAAAACTCAGTGTATAGTACTTTGCGAGTTGCGAGTTACAGAGTAGCAACGTACATCGCGACATTTGCTAAGTATATTACACCACGCAACTCATGCACTTTGTTGCGCGACATTTGCTAAGTATATTACACCACGCAACTCATGCACTTTGTTGAGTGTATTTCGCTTCAGAAATCCTAAATTTGTTGGTTGAATATCACTTGGCAACCTTTTTTTACATATTTAAAAATCACTTTATTATATTTAATATAATATAATAAATTTATAATAATATAATATAATAAAAATTTATATATTATAATATAATAAATATATATATATATATATATATATATATATATATAATTTAATAATAGTTAAATTCATATTTTATTAAAAATAAAAATGCAATAAATAATTAAACATAACTAAAAATATTACAATGTTTTGTTTGCATGAGTTAGCCGGTGAAAATTTCCTTGCAATTCATACATTTGTCAAATGTAAATCACCTAGCAACAATTTATATTCTTAATTATAAAATTCTATAATTAATCTTCATCTTCTTTCATATTTTCTTCTTCTTCCTCATTTCCACTTATGGCTTCACCATCTTCTTCTTTGACATTTTTGTTTACCGTTTGGACAACAACCGATCCAAATCCACCAACCCCCGTCATATCCATTAAGACCTTGAGTTCCACCTGTAGAATCATAAGTTGGATTCATTTATGAGAGCAACATAAATTCTTGCATTTCTTGTTGTGTAGCTCTCATTTGTTCTTGTGAAATTCTCAAGGCTTCCTACAACTCCAACTGAGTTCTTCTCATTTCTTTCATTTCAGCCTTTTGCACAACTTCACGTGTCGTAGCTTCAAGTGTTGCTGCTTCACGTGCTGTTGTTTCACGTGCTGCCTCATCTTGATCTAATTCTCTTATAGTTTCTACCATTTCAGGGGTTAACTCTGGGGACGTGACGACCCTTCACCATATGCAATTCTTGTGAATAAACATATATTCCCGGTTGTATAGTTGGCTGGTAAAGTTCCAACACCATAAATTTTCCTATTTTTCTTTCCTCCAACAATATCTATCCAAACATAAACATCAAGACTAAATCAATACGATGTGTACGCATAGAAACATCATATTGAGGATGTTGAGACTGAATTGCTTCTAACTATTTACGATACTTCTTCTACACATAATTAGAAAATAAAATTAAGTAATATAGTTTATATAATTTAGTTAAATAAAAGAATTAAATAAAATATTTAAATAATGATATCAATTTACCTGATTATATCTGGCACGCTCGTTGTTATACTTTCCATCTCTTCCCGTATAAGCACTTTTATGAACCTTGCTTAATAATAGGTTTCTTCCCTTCTAAACAACCTAATAAATATAATTAACTTTAATTAAATAAATATAATAAATAAGAATATAATTTTAAATATGTATTGAAATGAAAATATAATTAGCATATTTTGCGCAAGTTGTGCAATTCTAATACTTCCAGCTCTATGATTTAGGGCTCCATTTTCAGATGTTCTACATTGCTTGGCTTTTGTAGATTTATCCATAAACTCGTCTGAATTCTAATAAGCAAACATTTCATCAAAGACATCATGGCCCATCCATGGAGAGTGGATTGCTTTCCGTTCTCAACCAATTCTAGCACGTCTAAGCATGTCAGAAAGTCGGGCCGATTCTCTCTTCCTAAAATTACTTTCAATCTTTGTCTCATCAAATATCCCGCAAAAAATTATCTTTCCAATACAGGAGTTCCCAAAAATGCTTATTTTTGTCCAATAGTGTGTGTCCCTGTATCTTTGAATGTTGCATGATTTTCCATAGTCTGTGAATTTTGGTAAATCACAAACCATGTTTCGTACTTCAACAGATGTCAAACAGAGGGGAGGTTGATCGGTTACTTCTTCAACTTTCTTGAAAGCATTCTTGTCTCTTATAAAGACATAGTTTCGTGGTAGGAATCTATGGTGGCAGTCAAACCACAATCTTTTCCCTCCATTTTGCAATGTAAGCGCCTTGGTGTAGTGCATGCAATGGGGACTTCCCATTTTGCAATTAAGTTATATACATAAAAAAATGAATAATATATTTGTACAACAAAATAATTTAATTAAAGATGTTAATTATTATAAAAACTATAACTTATTAATTTTGTATTCTGTATTTTTAAAAAAGTATAAAAAAAATCAAAAATAAATTTAATTTTTGTTCTGTTTTATTAAAAAAAAATGAATAACATATATGTACAACAAAATAATTTAATTAAATATATTAATTATTATAAAAAAAATTTGTTATTCTGTTTCATTAAAAAAAGTAAAACAGAATGAAAATATATTTCTCTTTTTATTCTATTTTATATTATTTTTTACAACATAAACAATAATACAAACAACAACAAAAATATTTAAACTAGAATTATCCAATATTGATAACAAAAATTGGAAATAAAGTGTGTATCTTAAATTTGTGAGCTTTTGTAAAAATGTTGAATGATATATTGATGAAAAAGTAGAAGGGTGAGAGGAAAAATGTTGTGTATTGTGAGAGGATACCGAAGTGTTTGGTGAGAGGAAGCTCGCGTGATCCTTTTTTGAGAGGAAGTTGAGAAATGAAGCTTAATAAATAAGTTGTTTCCTTTATGATCGTTGCGCGTGTCTTGGCATTTGTGCATGTCATTTTGTTGACTGTTTTTCACGTCGTAACGCATATGAACATTGATGGATGAATAGCAAGCCAGAACT